ATAATTCTAGAGGCATCGATAACCGTAACATCATACATAGATGACTGGTTCCTCCCCATAGAGATATGGTACATACATACTACATACATCCATACCGCCGACCGGTACGGACAAAGCCCCATTAGTACATCCATTAATACCGACCCCGATACATCGTACAAGCCTCCTCCAGAACAGGAACTTTCAGGTACCGAACCCAATATGAAAAGCAGAGTTGCGGACGCCCTCCCATAATGGGCGTGTGCAGTTATGATGGACAATGGCTATAAATTCCGATCAGAAATAGGAACAACTTGCTAACTTATTATTACTATCAATAAGAATCGAGAAAGATTGAGTTTGGATTTATCCCTCAAGATCCCCCCTCATTTTTCCCCAACCGCCAATCCACACGTCCGCCCGTCGAAGTCGCCCCAAATGGCTTGGGGCCCGCGCACTATCCGTCATAAGCTGAACAGTGATCAATCGTTCGCTCTTTAACTCCGTCACTACCGATCTGAGTTACCATTCTCAATATCCGACCATTCATTCTCTCTCTCCTCTTTCCACAACCCTCCCCCCCCTCCCTCTTTCTTTCTCTCTGACTCTCTCGTCTTCCCCTTACAGGGTCATCTGGTTCTCACTTCCTAGACTTCTAGAACCTAGATTCATTGATCGATCTCTTCGTTTGTTCGCTTGTTAAGGTTCCAACTTAGCCTGAATTTCCCCTGCGTACATTTACGGGGTGCCCCCACAGCTCTCGATTCCGCCGCCCGTTCACATTCCGCCCCATTCCTCGTTCAACACCCTCCAGCGTTTCTTTCACTTCCATCGGCTTCGCGGACCTTCAAAACCTTATGCCTCACGCCGCTCCTTGTCATCTTACATAGTGGTTATCATCCGATCTACCAATTTCAATCCAATTGTCCTTTTCCCCTCCTCGCCGCTCACCTGTCCGCTTGTCGCATCGTCCGTTCTTTTGCGCGTTGCCTGATCGACGCCTGTCCGGCCCCTCCAGCGGCCCTGCTGTCGGCTTCGCTTCAAAATCGTCAGATGAATCTTGAAATCGCGAGTCAAGATCTTTCGTGACAATCATGGGGTCGTTTCTCAGGAGTTTACGCAGGGATGTGGTGAGTGGTTCTGTTCTCGTTTGCCTCCCGGCCTTTATCTCGTTTCGCCATCGTGGTATGGTCTCTTCTTTATGGTATCATGAAGGATATACCAAGAAAAGTAAGAAAGGAAAGAAGGAAGAAAAAATAAAAAAAATAAAAATAAAAAGAGAGAGACCAGAAGAGGAAAGAGAAACAGCTTTACCAAACCACGTTCCTATCTCCCTGCGACAACTAAATGCTAATTCTCGATCTTTCCAGGGACCTCCCACACCCTCAGTTGGGGTGACTCCCGCAAAGAAAGAACCAATAGTGCCCCCGGTGACCCCTTTAGAGAAGATGCTCCAGGATATGGGTGCGATTCGCGAGGATGGAAGTGACAAGTTTTTCGGGATGGAAAATGTGAGTCTCTGGCTGTCGCGGTTCTTGAAATGCTATGTATTATGGTGCTAATGCTGTCTTCTATTTTTAGTACGGTAACACCTGGTAAGTCGATGTGTGCCTGATCTCGGGCAGCTTGCAGTTTCAGAAGTGCGAAAACGGGGCACATTACTGACGTTCATCTCACCAGCTATTGCAACTCGATCCTACAGTGCCTATACTATTCCGTCCCTTTCCGGGAGGCCGTCGTTAATTACCCGACCCGAACACCTATAGAGAGTCTGGAAGCGGCGCTGGCAAACACTCTTCGCTATCAAAACTTCGCCGCTAACTTGGAAGCCGAGGCGCAGGCCGAGAAACAGAAAGCTGCTAATGCGCAGCGCCCTGGAGCGCCTCCGAATCAACCGCAAAAGCCAGAGGACAAAGACTCGCCTGAATACAAAAAGAAAATGGCATTACAAACGCTGCCACTCTTGGAGACTAAGAACAACGCGACCAGCTATGGAATGTCAGAGTCTCTCTTTACGTCATTGAAAGACCTATTCGAGTCTGTTGTCGCAAGCCAATCGCGAATAGGTATTATCCGACCACAGCACTTCCTGGATGTTCTCCGACGCGAGCACGAAATGTTCCGAACTGCCATGCACCAAGACGCCCATGAATTCCTGAACCTACTTCTCAATGAAGTTGTTGCGAACGTGGAGGCAGAGGCATCTAAACAACCTGAAATAGAGAAGACTCTTCCTCCAGCGGAAAGCACAGACTCGACTGAGCTATCGGGAAGCTCCGGCTCTAAAACACCCAACACTACTCGATGGGTGCATGAGTTATTTGAAGGGACTTTGACATCGGAAACACAGTGTTTAACTTGCGAGAAGGTTTCGCAACGTGACGAAGTTTTCTTGGACCTGTCGGTAGATCTCGAACAGCACTCGTCGGTTACGTCGTGTTTGAGAAAGTTCTCAGCGGAGGAGATGCTTTGTGAAAGAAACAAGTTCCACTGCGATAACTGCGGTGGTCTTCAAGAGGCTGAAAAGAGGATGAAAATCAAGCGCCTGCCTCGGATTCTGGCCCTGCACCTCAAACGATTCAAATATACTGAAGACCTGCAACGACTTCAAAAGCTATTCCATAGAGTTGTATATCCCTATCATCTTCGCCTTTTCAACACGACAGACGATGCGGAAGACCCGGATCGTTTGTACGAGCTATATGCAGTGGTGGTGCATATTGGTGGCGGGCCATATCATGGACACTACGTCGCCATTATTAAAACACAGGATCGGGGATGGTTGCTGTTTGACGATGAGATGGTAGAACCTGTGGACAAGAGCTACGTTCGTAATTTCTTCGGCGACCGGCCTGGCCTGGCCTGCGCCTACGTCCTATTCTATCAAGAGACCACACTCGAGGCTGTTATGAAAGAACAAGAGCAAGAAAACATGGACCTAAACACGAGCGTCGCTGATATGAATGACTCGCCCTTAAAGCAGAATGGATATCCCCTATCTCCAGGGTTGGCCCATGTTCATAGCGCATCTCAGATACCTTCAACCAACGAACCCGCCCGATTCAGCAATCTCCATCGGGCCCCTACTGCACCCCCTTTGTTCCCTCACCCAGAACATACAGACTCTGAAAGCGCTCCCGCAGATCCTTCGACTACTTCATCTACCATCCCGCCTGTTCCTCCCATACCGGACACATATTCTCTACCTCTCAGCCCGAAGAAGAGCGATTCTCATTTCAAAAAGGAACGGGCCAAAGAGGAAAAGGAGCGAAAAGCGAACGAAAAAGAGAAAGAGAAACAGCGCCGGAAGGAACAGGAAGCGAGAATCAGAGAACAGCGACGAGAGGATGCTGAAATCAGAGCTGCGCTCGAGGCGAGCAAAGTGTCCAAGGCCGATGAGGACCGACGGAATTCCCCTGATGACACCAAGAAGCTCAGCGGTGGCTTGAGCCGTCTGAAGCGCGGCAGCAAGAGCTTCAGCCACCGGCTCGGCAAAGATAAAGAGAACCGAGTTCCGTCTTCAAGTCATTCGGCAACACCTATTGCGGAACACTCCCCGTCAAGGAACGGGGCCTCCGAATCACAGCAAAAACTACCCAACGGCCAGTCCCCGGGTTCTCATGGCTTACATACGAGGCATACAGGACTGGATGAAGAGCGGGATACGCTCAAAGACCCTAAGCACGACAGAAGTGGACACCATGGAAAATGGAGGAGTTTCAGTCTCAAGAAGAAGTCATTTAGCATTCTTTCGTGAGCTTCCTCTCGTCGCGGTATTTCGACCAGTATCGGCGATAATTTTCTGCACATAGAATGCGCGTTTTCCGTACATATTTCGATGTATCATCACCTTTATCTTCATACCGGTTGTATGGATCGTCCGGCGGCGTATTTCACGGTTCCGCGCATCTTATGGCAAGGATGCCATAGGAGCCGGCTACGTTTTACTTTCTCCGCGCGTTTTTGCTTTTAATCGCATCCGATGCATTGTATTTGCTTGTTGTTTTAGCCACCACTCTATATTTTCGATTCATCAACTTTGTGATACCCGTGCCTGGGTCACATAGCGGGGCAAATGAGGCGTTTGGCGAGTATATTTCTGTTTTACATTGCTTTTCAAATGAGCCGGCAATTTATGGCAAGGGGTTCAGGTCTGTTCAGGTTATGGGAACGGTGTGCAAATATTGAAAAGAACAGCAGAGCATTTCACTGTACTGTAGGTAGGATGGGCTACATGTCCATCCTTTCCCATGTATATCGTGTTCAATTACTCCAGAGGATGTCCACACAAATAGACAGCGTTGCATGAAACCCGCACGATGCAAGATCTCAGTGTAACCTATTGGATTATTCTCCTTCAAATAGCCGCAGGAACCTTGTAACCAGTGAATTCAGGTGTACATATGTAGTGTATCATTTGAAGCTTTTTCAGGGAAGTCATATGTTCATTCACACGAATAAACCCCTAGAAAAAGAAGCGAGGAAATATTCTATAGAAACAACCATTTGCTCATATAGTCACATTGCAACGAGAGAACACCACTTCCAAGCCACAGATGTCCTATCCCGATCAATCAGCAACAGAAATAGCTCCATGCTCGAGTGCAGTTCACCCGCAATCTCCATCGCCCAGCTACCTAAATCGTGTATATGCTTCTTTGCAAGCGACTCTCAGATCGACACTCGTGCATGGATTCTCTCTCGGCAATAGGCAGCGAAGTCAAACGCTCACTTGTTATTCAGATAGGTTCGAGATACGGGATGTTGCAGCAAGCAATGCATGTCCAGCTGGCAGGAGGTCCGGTCGATCGCTCGGCAATAGACTCAATCAAAGGAAAAACTCCGCAGGAATCAAAACAAAGCAACACGATCGCTCAACCGAGAATAATCGAATATATGATGATTATAGTGTTTATCACGATAAGGGGTACTGGCGCGCAGACCAATCATTAGCGCTTACTCCGAAAACATGTATATAGAGATACTTCCGGGCCCATATTCTCAGCCAGAGACTACCTAGGCTAGCCAGCTAGGTAGATAGGTAGGTACAACATACTTCGCATAACAGTCCGCACACTGGCGATCAGATCTACCGTTTTCGCCTTGACGCTGGTACTATCGTAGGATGTGCCGAAGGCAGGGTCGGCTTGACTGCGACCCCATCCGACTATGTAGAGGTTATTTGGTTAGCTGGGCGTTCGCTTTTGCTTGTGAGGGGGAGGTTTATCGACTCGACGTACTTCTGGCGAGGAAGCGGTCTTCACTTAGGATTGCGATTGCGTTTGTTATTAGGACGGCGACGTAGACGAGGCGTCCGAGGCCGAAGAGGAACATTTTGGACTGTGGTGTTGGTGTGTTGGTGCGGAGTTTGTTTGGAGAAAGTGAGAAAGGTGTCTTTGGTCGGTCGATAACGATAAATGGTCCGCGGACACGGGACGCGGAGCCAAGACTGCGTTGATGTGGTTGGTTGAGTGTTTGAGTTGGGACCACTTTCTTAGCTTACTTTTTTTTGTTTTTTACTCTTGTGGTTAGATTTAAGTGGGTTGGACTTGGATACTAGTACTATAGGTGAAGGATGTTTGCTGGATCTGTTGCTTCATGTTGACGGTCTTCTTGCTTCTGCTGGTTCTGTTACTACAAGACATACTGGAATCTCTCTCCGTCCTTAGACAAGCACAATTACATTAGTTGATATCTCTTTCCATTCATTCTCTAAGTACAGACTATGTTGCTCGATTCCATACAAAGTAGAATGCTAATAGTCCCCTCGAGGCGAAGCACACATAGTCTTTTAGGAGATTAGAGGTAGTAGTAACCTAAGGAAGGGTTGACCAGAGAAATAACACACTTTGTATGGTCAAGATAGGCTCACATTAATTATTTCATACACTCGGCCGCTGCGCTGCACTAGTCTATTCTAGGAAACGGCTGCGCGATCCAACGCGCAGCGTCTGAGAAATACTTGCTGTCTTTTATTAGGTAGATCAAGAGTTAAATGCAATCTTTTGGAACTCTTTTTTTTACTTTTGAATGTCTCAACCGGCTTTTGTATTGACGACCTGGGACATTATTTCCACGATTTGTGAGACCAAACTCTACATCTGAGGATACATCCACACTACAGGAAATAGCTGCTCATATCTAGATATAGGAAGTAAACTCAAGACTGCCAAAATTTTCAACTGGAATTATTATCTCCATCAGACGCCTTATGACCCCCACGGATATTCCTTTCGGCTCCTCATTATACCATATACTTGTATTGATTGAAATAAGCAACTGCACGAAATGACGGGAAGAAAACCTACAAGACGTGGTGATAAACGAACAAAGAGGAGTAAAATATTCCGCAGAATGTGGCAACAGAAGAAACATCCAGAGCTTTCAATTCCATGCCCCATGGATACTTCTACCCCTGCGGAGTGTACTCTATAGCCTTCAGAGATCCCACCTTCAGAAATTACCACCTTTGCCACCATTAGGGAATGCGTCCTCCCCGATAAACTCTCCTCTATCCTCTCCCCCGCCGGAGATGTTAGATCGTCTCGATCATGATGATCTAGATATCGATCAAAACGGGAAACCGACCCAGGAAACGGTCGAAGAAACGGTCGAAGAAACACCAGACTATCCAGAATTTCGTACCCGGACGAAGCTACAATATATGGCTAACGCTCTAGAGCATATTTCATGGAGTGCAGAGTCATTCTTCCGTGCATGGATAAACTCCCCGGTCCAGCTTCGACACAAGAAATATGATACAAGAGAGAAACGTCAGGAATATTTCCTAGGAACAATACACCGGCTAAAACTTAAGCGCCAGCTCCACGATCCAGCTATTCTTATGGAAGAACTGACTATGCTGGTGAAAAAGAGATATTTTGATCAATTCGATCTCCATGCTACAATTGAGGCCATCGATTTTCATCAACCCACCAAGACAATAAAGAAAACGGCACCTAATTGGTACGGATTAATCTGGAAATGTCTGGTTAATTCACGCTTTTCTCAATCCAGTTATCAAGCTGCTACAAACGTCGATTATGTGACTGCCAAGTATCACAAGGTTCTCTTCTTTATAGCTTGCCTTGTCTGTCATTCCAGAGCCCCAAACAAATCCAATTCTATGGCGTCAATACTCAGTGTCTATCTCCAGGGCTCGGGGGTGAAGCGACAGGTGCTTGAAACACTTACTGAACTGGGCATATGTCAATCTTATACCCATGGAAATAACCTCCTCAAGAAGATAGCTAAAAGCCAGGCGGTCTAGTCTCCGATCTACCGCATGTTCAACTAGTTATACGATTTTCATGTCAGTTATAAGTTAGTTTGTCAGTTAACTAGCTGGTCAGGAACAAATGCTTAGTCATGTGACTGGGCCACATCTGAGCTCGCTTTGTATGATCTTGTCGCAGTAACTTGACCAAAGAGGGTCCTTGTAACTCTTAGAAAGCGCTGAAAATCGTGATTACCTTAGTATCTATTGTGGATCAGCCTTGGTGATTCGACCTGGAACCAGATTGGACATAATGAAGCACCTGAGGTGCTCCGGAAAAGTGTGACCCAGGGATTCTGCCGCCTGCTGTGATCGGTCTACGTATGCTTCTACTAAACCACCGCCAACTCCAACTGAGGCACAATGGGGAAAGCCGATGCTGGTAGGGTTTGCCGTTGACTCTATCAGTATACTTGCTAATATCTACTGCTCTGCCCAGCCTTCACACTCCTTCTTGGCGCCATCCCAGCGCTCATACTCCTCCACCTTTACCTGGCTCCCTACACCAAGGTGGAGGAGTCTTTCCATGTGCAAGCCATTCATGACATTCTCTCCTACGGCATCCCAACTCAAAATGTAGCCGAGACGCTACGCACCAAGTATGATCATTTCACCTTTCCCGGTGCGGTGCCTCGGACATTCGTCGGAGCTGCTGTCCTGTCTGCATTATCGCAGCCATTCATCTGGTTGAATGATACAATTGATCGGCAACTGCTCGGTAGGAAAGCCATCGTATAGCCGCTCTGTAACGCTCGCACTAACACTGTAAACTCAGCACGAGCCATTCTGGGCCTGTCCAATGCCCTGTCTTTGCTCTCCTTTGCATCCGGACTGCGACGAGCGTTCGGAAAGACTGCAGCGATCTGGTACCTGCTCTGCCAGGCAAGCCAATTCCATGTTCTTTACTATGCATCGCGGACACTGTCCAACATGTTCGCTTTCGGGCTATCCACCCTAGCGCTACGATACCTTCTCCAGGACCATACCCAATTAGCAGCTTCCAAGACGTATAGAAACCGGTGTCGCCTATCCCTATGCCTGTTGACCATAGCCGGTATTATCTTCCGTTCGGAGCTGGCTCTCTTCCTTGCCACAAACACCATCTTTCTTTTTCTTACAGGACGCATCGGCATCCAGCGAGAGATAATCCCAGCCGGGCTACTAGGCCTGCTCCTCGGCTTAGGGTCGACCGTCCTCGTGGATTCCTTCTTCTGGCAAAAGTATCCTCTATGGCCAGAGCTAGAAGCTTTCGTATTCAACGTCATCCACGGGCAATCATCTGCCTGGGGCACACATCCATGGCACTTCTACTTCACCAACGCTATCCCTCGCCTCCTACTCAATCCTCTGGTCTATCTAGTCGGGCTCCCGTTCGCTCTATTCCAGCCATCAACCCGATCTGCTGCAGCATACCTGCTCATCCCATCACTTACCTTCATAGCCATCTACAGCACCCAGCCTCACAAAGAATGGCGTTTCATCGTCTACGCTATCCCCCCACTAACCGCCGCCTCCGCCCTGGGAGCGTCCTACATCTGGACGCACCGGACCAAATCCCTCCTCTACCGGCTGCTCTCCCTGGCCATGATCCTATCCACCCTCGCCTCATTCCTCTGCTCAACTTTCATCCTCCTCCCCGCCTCCTCCGCAAACTACCCAGGCGCACACGCCATCCAATCCCTCCACAGTCATGCCCACAGCACCAAACCCATCATCTCCGTCCACCTAGGTAACCTCGCCTGCCAAACAGGCGTTACCCGTTTCCTCGAAATGCCCAATCCACCAGACAACTCAACCCCAGCCTGGACATACGATAAAACCGAAAACGAAACCCTCAAATCCACGTCTTCCTTCTGGACCCAGTTCGACTATCTCCTCATCGAACCCGGGGAAGAAGAATCGAAGGTCCGGTCTCTCTCTGGGCCAGATCATTGGGAGGACGTGGATGTCATCGAGGGGTTCGCGGGTCTGCGGGTCGTTAGGCCTGGTGAACAGGCCGTGGGTGCAGTTGAGGAGCGGGTTCTCACGAAGTTTGTTGGTGAGGATGGTGCTCGAGTTTGGAGAGCTGGTCGGGATTTTGCTCGTCGGACTGTTACGCGGGGTTGGTGGGTTGAGGTGAGGATGGATCCGAAGATTAAGATTTTGGGGCGGGTTTCTGTTTAGATATTTTTGTGTTGTGTTTCTTGTTCTATACGCTTATCGTTTGGTGTGGATTTGGTTGAGTATGTGTTCCATTCCGTATCTTATTGTCTAGTGGAAATGTAGGTACTTGCACGGAGGCGTGTATCAGATTTATGTATGGACCGAATTCTCCAAGTACCATTCGACCAACAATGCAATACATTTAGAACGAGACAAGGGTGACAGCAAGCATCCGCTAGCTTTGTATGCAAATATGAACATTAGAAGAATCCTAAAGCAAAACTTGGGTATTTCCATCATTCCAACAAAGCCCCGTTCAATCATGCCTCCTTACTTGCCAACCGATCCAATCTACCCTCCAGATCACGCACCCAGGGCTCAACAAGTGCGATATTGCTCTTTAGGGCTGCCTCTCCCTGGTTCATCTTTTCTTCGACAACATGCAAGCCCTCGCGCCACTGGTCGATTTCCCGCGCCATATCGGCCTGGCGTCGTTCCAGCTCATCAAGGGATTCGGAGGCTTGAGCGGCGCCTGCGTGGATGGCACGGAGGGAGCGAAGTCGTTCCAGGACGCTGGGGAGAATGGGGTGGAGGGATTGGATGGTTGGCAAGGTGGCGTAGAGAGCTTGGATCTTCGTGGCTTGCTCATCGCGTTGGGTCGCTGCGGGGTCGACTTCTGTGGCGGATGAGGACACGGACATGTCGGAGGGTTCGAGCGCTGCGGAGGCGATGCGGGCATTTTGAGCGGCCTTAGCTGCATCGACGGCGCGCTTGCGTGCGGATGCAAGGGCCTCAGTGTCGGCGGTTAGCTTTCTCACGCGAGTCGACAGATTCTCGAGATGAGGTGTCGAAACTGTTGTTGAGGGTAGAGCGGAACCTATTGTCGGGACCGCCGAGACAGGAGCCGGGCCGACGAGAATGTTCATAAGAGTGGTCAGGCGGGACGTCAGGTGGTCTAGCGCCGGTAGCACAGGTTGGAGTGGTATATCCGAGCTCCCATCGGCGATGAAGGGGTTCGAGGAGCTGGAGATGCCCATCGCAGCCTCAACAAGCGCTAGCCGGCCGTCAAAGGCCGCAGCGTGCGCCAGAACACCGGAAGATGGAGCACTAGGGGAAGTCGTCTTTTTCTCCGCCTTCTCAGCCGGTCCATCCGGCTTGTCAGGATCATCGGGTGATGTTTCAGAGATCTTTTTGGATAGTATCGCGGCTGCCGAGTGCGGCCCGGATGCGCTCCGGGAGGAGGCATAGAGGTTATCCAATGCTCGACTCAACTCTAGCACTCCATCGTCCAGTCCCTCCTTGTGCTCTGCCTGGGGTTCATTGGACTCTGATCCGGTTTGGCGAGAAGCCATCTCATCCTTCAATTCCTCCACTTCTCTGCGAAGACGAGCAAGTCTTCTGTCCAGCCCTTCATCTTCGCTGTCGCTGAAGTCCCCTACTTCTTCCAAACCATTCTCGTCTCTCCGGCGTCTGCGACTCTTACTTCTATATGCTTTCCGTTTTGTAGCGATACTGTCGGAGAAATTGACTTCGCGCGCATCAACGGTAGCTCCGAGGAAGTGAGCGCGCGCCTCGTCCGCATTGATGCCTTGGCGGTCAATGTCGGGGTTGGAGCCAGCATCATCATCATCGGGGTTGGAATTGGTGCGGACTGTTGCAGTCTGAATGCGATAAATATAATGACGTGGTCAGAGGACAAATTCATATGTCAGTGATTTAGATGTGGTAGCTAACCGGTACGGTGGACACTTCATCGGTCAGATCGGGAGTCTCGTAGATATCGGGCGCGAGGTCCTACGCTCAAAGCCATGGGTTAGTGGCATGGTAAACACGGTGACATGGCGATACTTGTGTGAGGGAGAGGTGATTTACCAGATCCGGAAGCCCCGCATATTTCTTATTGAACGCCATGATCCGCCGATGCACTGACAGGGTGCAGAGTGTTTGGTTGGAGCATCTCGGAAGGACTCCTGTAAACTAAGTGTAAACTATGGGAACAGGACGAATTGCGGTGGGTCTCCGCGTTGGCACGTGAAAGGGGCAGTTGCCCTTTTGGGCCTGAGGCAGTGAACCGTTTTTGATCAACAGGACGGAGTACGGAGTAATTGTCGCCACTACCAGTACGGTGTATATACTAGTCGAGGGCTGGACATGCACAAATACGTAATGACTATGGTGACATTCCAGCTTCACATGACATGATGGTCGTGTGGCAGCATTTCCATGAAAGATGCAGATACCTTTTTTTTTCTTTCCCATAGGACGTTCCGTGCTGAAACAGGCATCTTTGTTTCAACGTTGGTTTGGCAATTGGCGCCAAGCAGGTTCCTTGACCAGTCGAAAGCCATGGCGTCGAGAAGGTAGATTAAAGTCCGGAGTTCTACGCAGGAGCAGAAGAAGAAAGAACACATGCACGTGGTAACAGCCTCGGAGGTTGACATTCTGGGCAGGTCATGCCTAATCTGGTAGTGTGTGGAGGGGCGTGACTGGAACTCCCCGGAAAGGCACATGAATGTGACTTCCCTGACTTCAATCTATTTAAATACCCTCTTCTTATAATCTCTCACCACCCCAGTAGTAGTTCCCTCAATTTATCATCACCTGCATCCTCCTTTTTCTTTTCTTGACTTGTATACTCATATCTCTTAACTAACCTACCCCGCATCACCATGGCTTCCCCCGCAGACATCACCATCAAGGACCTCAGTGGAGAGTGGACGATGGTATGTAGAGGCCCTTCAAATCCAATTCCGGAACACTCCAAGTTCAGGGAGAGTTTCGCCGTGATAGAGTCTGACCCTTGTGCGTGTTCAGGACAAAACCCTCTCCAACCCCACTGAACCCATTCTGGCCCTGGTAAGTTGCCCACAAGCAAAGGTATATCTAGCCTTGACTAAAGCAAACCGCTGACGTCGTCGTGAATAGCAAGGAATGGGCTGGATGAAGCGTAAGGCTCTCAACATCGCAACCGTCACCCTGACGGTCCACCAATACGCCGACGAGAAGGACCCCAAGGTCCTGCACGTCAACATCGACCAAACAGTCACTGGAGGTATCCCCGGCACAACTGAACACCGTATCACCGACTGGGAAGGGCGGGAGCACGAAGACCACGTCTTCGGCAATGTCAGAGGTCAATCCCGCTTGATCCGGGGCTCGAAGGGCGACGATGGAAAGTTCCGCCCTAATGTGGAAATCGCTACCAAGACCGATGACGAGAATGTGAAGAAGTTCTTGAAGGGCGAGATTCTGGCTGATGGAAAGGATACTGAGGGCTTCGTTGCCGACAACGTCGGTGAAGAGTATGGTGAGGGCGAGAGTCTTTTCCTCCAGAGCTTTGTACAGAACCTGGACAGCAACGGCGGCTGGACTGCTGAGCAAGTGCGTATCCCCGGCTACTATGCATTCGCGCGAGACCACTGTGGATACTAACCTTGACTTCTTAGATCTGGGGCTTCGAAGTGATCGATGGAAAGCGCTACTACACTCGCCGTGTTGTCGTTGCCAAGGACGGCAAATATGAAAAGGCCCGCTTTGTGTACACCTTCATCAAGCGCAGGGGAGAGTAGAGGTCATTTGCATTAGCGTTGAATGAATTTCCTTATCATTAGCCTTCAGTTGTCTAGACCAGATCGGGCTTGACTCCGAGACTTGAGTTCAACCCAGATCTACATGAACATCAGCCACAGCTGTACCTACCAAAATAAATAACCCGTCACATATTTATAACCTTCACTGGTTCACTACAGTAGCGTACAAGTCACAGTGGGTACAAAGTAATGGCATTGATATCATTTTGACTAGTATCCCGCAAGGCAGGCACTGGTTGGAGTACTCGGCTGTAATTGCAGACCAAGCACCCGCATTCCTTAGGGTATATACACAGTATCTTCATCGCCGAGATGAGAATAAACGGACAAGGACAATTTCCTATAAAAGAGAACAAACATCAAAATAAACCCTGAAACTCGATAGACTTCATTATTTTAACACTCCACGGTCAATTTAGTGGTGAGTGGGCATCACAACATGCGCCTTGGTGCTGACAGCATCCTCGCTCCGCCACAAGCTCGTCACAGTCTTCTGCTGAGTGTAGAACTGCAAGCCAGGCTTGCCGTAGAATGTATTAGCTCCGCCGCCGGCGATACTCTTCTTGTTGCCAGTGAAGGAGAACATGGGAAGAGGGACCGGGATGGGGACATTGATGCCAACTTGTCCAGCCTCAATGTCCTTCTGGAAACGTGAGGCAGTAGAACCGGAGCAAGTGAAGATGGCAGCTCCGTTACCATATTCATTCTTGTTGATGAGGTCGACGGCATCCTCAAGAGTAGGGACGCTAAGACAGACCAGAACAGGGCCGAATATCTCTTCCTTGTAGCAGGTCATCTCAGGGGTGACATTCGTGATGATGGTGGGGCCGACCTTAAAAAGCACCGTATGTCAGGAATGGCGTCATCGTGTATCAAAGGAGAAATGGTTCACTTACAAAGTTGCCGTTGGGGTACTTCTCAGGCTTGTAGCCCCTTCCGTCCAAAAGGATCTTTGCGCCCTCCTTCTCTGCACTGGCAATCAAATCTTCGATGCGCTTCTTGCTCTCCGGGCTAATAACAGGGCCAAGGTCGGCTCCCTCTTCAAATCCGCCGTTGACATTCAATGCCTTGGCACGCTCTGCGATCTCAGGGAGCCATTCCTCGGTCTCGCCAACCATGACCACAGTGCTCAAGGCCATGCAGCGCTGGCCAGCAGCGCCAAAAGCTGCTCCCACGATAGCATTCAGGGTGTGGTTCTTGTTGCAGTCGGGAAGAACAGCTGCATGGTTCTTGGCTCCCAGATTGGCCTGGACACGCTTGCCATTGGCAGAACCCCGAGTGTAGATGTACTCACCAGCACGGTTGCTACCGACAAAGCTGATGGCCTTAATGGCAGGCTCATCAATGATGAAGTCAACGGTCTTCGCAGAGCCATGGACGATGTTGACAACACCAGCGGGGAAGCCAGCTTCCTTAGCCAGCTCCGCCAAGATCATGGCAGCGCCAGGGTCGCGCTCCGACGGCTTAAGGATTAAACAGTTACCCGTGATGGTAGCAATGGGAATGCACCAAAGAGGAATCATTGCGGGGAAGTCTGTGGGGGAGCGGTTAGCCTCGGAGGGAAGAGCGGTGGATCCTCCACGAAGCAAGGGGAAACTTACTGAAGGGGCAAATAGCTGCTACCACACCCAAGGGCTCCCTGTAGCTTCTGGTCTCCATATCTTTAGCAACTTCCAACACCTCTCCTGTAAGCTGCGTAGTAATGCCGCAGGCGGTCTCGGCAACTTGCAACCCACGGAGAACATCACCCTTGGCATCGGCAAAAGTCTTGCCCTGTTCGAGAGTGATAGACGCAGCGAGACGGTCCCAGTTGGCACGAATCAGACTGACGAACTTGAACATAATCTGCTGCCGGGCAATCACGCTCATTGCCCGCCATGCTGGGAATGCCTTCTCGGCGGACTCCACTGCCGCCCGCAGTTCCTCATCTGTACTTTGAGGGACACGGGTAACGAGATTGTTGGTGGCGGGGTCATGGAGGTCGATCCAAGTTGTAGCCTTAGAGGCGACAAACTCGTTGTCCAGAAAGTTGGCCGTATCAATTGGATTAGCAATCTGTTTGTGGTCCGTCGGGTACTCGGTAGCGGTAGTAGCCGCGGAAGTAGTTGCGGGGGTCATTTGGCGGGCGGTGGCGTGCAGTCTGCGCACAGCAACGTTGGAAGCGGGAGAAGAAGAAGTAACAGAGGAAGCTCGACGAGCAAGAGCTGAAGAAGAAGACATCGAGGCAGTCATTAGAGAACGCGACGTTGCTGACCTGGCAGACGATGCGTTGGCAAGACTCGTGCGGGGAGATGCAGCGCGGAGTGTGGGGAGAGAACGGGCAAGGGACCGGCGGGCGGCCATTGTGACAGAGAGATCGAAGGGGGATAGATAGGTAGAGAGTAAAGAATAGAAGAAGCAATTAATGGGTAGGAGGATGCGTGAAAGGATAGACTCCTGAGAGGGGGGAAGAGGTCATAAATAGTGATCAGCTACCAAGGGGAAGAGGAATGATATAGTACATTTACTGACTGGAACCCCCATCCGATCTAGGTGTCGCTGCTTTTGTGAGAGTGGCACGTGATAGCTCCTGAGCGCCTCGGGTCACTCCCCGAGGGTGCTCTAGGCACGCTCCAGTGAACTCCGGATTACTCGCCGAGTACCTTTTGCTGCTCAGCTTCCTGCCATATACCAGTCCACGTGACAGCTGTCTACCCCGGAGCGATCAGGGCACGCACTGGCCTGATCCAACCACGGTCAGCCTTGCTCAATGAGCCAAAAGCGGCGGCATCTGGGACCGAATCTAGACTTCGAAATGCTCAGCTGCTCATTACTTTCTCCGTTTTGGAGAATCGATCCCAAGGATTTCCCGATACGATCGCCGAGGGCAACCGATAACGCTGCTCGGCGCTACGGGCCAATCACTACCTCCAACCAGGAGCTACTTGCCGAATTGAATGCAACCAAACGAAGCAAGTTCAATCATACTACTACTAGTAGTATGGATTTCCCCGCGGAGTATGAATCGATCATGTTTGCTTGCCGGAGACCATTTTACATCGTCTGCAGTTTTCCCAATTCAGAATCAAACGGCCCCAGTCTATCAATTCATTTGGGAATCACCACAACAAGAAAAGGGAAAGTGAATTGAGAGAAGACAACATAGACTGATCTCTGATCCTGCATGAAGCCTTGCATATACCTGGTATTGAGGAATTGATCATTGCAATCTACAGCTCCTATATCTATGTCAACCACATCATTCTATAGCGCTTCTACTTACACGGAAGCCAACTCATCGGTATTACTATGTGCAGTGTCGATCTGATCTTTCTTTGGTTTACTGTACAAACCTTAGCCTAGCTCACAGGCCCAATCGCTAGCCAGCCGATGTCTGGATATGAAGATGTTCTATCGCATTAGGTTTGAACCTCCAGGAGCCGTTGTACTATCATTATAATTACAATTGACTCTTTCCTTTTTCTTTTTTTTTCCATTTGCGATTCTGACTCCTCTTTTTTTGAATGGTCAGTGGTGTGTATAGCGTTGATTGCGTACTTCAGCATCGGACAGTGAGGAACATTGTTCGAAGCAGGATTTCTTTGTGACATGGGTAGAAGGTTGGTTGGTTGCTATATTAAGAACAAAGAATCAAGGATTAGCCCTCAGCTACTCCGTACTTTAGATTATTCTACGTAGTGCTACCACAACAATGGATAATCTTGCTATCTTGGCTTGATCGTTCATGGACACTTATATACGATGAGGCGAAAAAGGCCATGAATTCCTAATTCAGAAGACAATAATACGGCGGATATTTTGAGGGTAGCCGCAACGATTTTTAAAGTAAAGAACAAGGCTACTTTACAAGCTCCAGCAGAAACAGTTCCCTATCTGCATGCTCTCATATCTCATCAAAAGTGGTATGATTCCCTCAACGCTTACCACAGAAGACCGTTGGTTGAACGTGCAATACACGTCGGGTATGATGTCAAAATTGAAAATTTCTGGGTTTAACTTTATTTGCTTCTTCTTACACTCGTCCTCACTTTCCCACGGGTATCATATCACAATTTTACTGAGCAGAAGAACGGGTGGTACGCTTGCTGGCGCCGCCCTTACCCGTGTCCGCAGAGCTGCTGACAGCCTCGCTAGCCTTCTCCTTGGCAGCACCTGCGGCCTCCTTACCCTTCTTGACGGGGGCAGGGGCGGGGCTGCTGGCCTTGATGGCACCCACGATGATGAGGACCATCGAGAGAACCAGGGCTCCCAAAGTACCGGCGACCTCAGGGGCTTGCTTAACAGCGTTCACAGGGTCCTGCTTGGCAAGTCCAACAAAGTGGTCGACCTTCTCACGGACGAAAGTGACGGGGTCTTCCTTGAAGCTAACACTGGTGGAAGGGGCAGTCTCCTCCTTCTTGGGCTTGGAAGCCTCCTCCTCGGCAACTTCAACAGGGTGCTTGACATCGAAGGTCTCCTTGCGGAGCTTCTCAGCATCCTCGGCGGAGTGGCCAATGTAGATGTTGTCGAACAGGATGTCGTTCTGCATAGTCCAAATTTCAAACCCAATCTAGGGAACATTAGCTATACGAGACGCAAATAACCCTAGAAGAGTGGTACTTACAGCGCCCATAGGCTCGAAATTGGAAGGGGTCTTATCTTCGAAGTAAGCCGGGTTGGCGATCTTACGGGGAGCCCAGGGGCCTTGTAGGCGGGGTTGTCGATCATAGGAGCAGTCCACTTGCCCTTGTAGGCAGGGTTCTTCTTCATCGGAGGGCTCCAAGGGCCACATCCAGAGACGTCATTGCACTTAGGGTTGGGAACAGTGGGGGGAATCCAATCGCCATCCTCTTCATCATCCCAGTCCTCAGGCTTCTCGGCCTCGGGGTCGGGGATGCTGGTGGACTCCTCCTCAAGCCAGTCCTCGGGCTTGGTGGCTTCCTCGTCAACAATCTCATAGGGAGCTTCCTCATCCCAGTCCTCAGGCTTGGTGGCCTCAGGGTCAGGGATCTTGACATCGTCAACCCAATCGGCGGGCTTCTTATCCTTGGGGTCATCGATCTCCTTCTCGGGGTTGACAGAAGGGTTGAAGTCTTCAAGCAAGGTGCCGTTCTTGACAGCCTCGCCATCAATGAGGATCTGGAAAGACTGGTCGGGACGAACAATCAAGGTGTACAAGGAAGTGACCTTGTTGGTGCGAGCAGCAGGAGGAGCCTTGAGGTGCTTCTCCTCGTACTCGCCAGTCTTGGGGTTCTTGTGGCGGAAGATGAAGTGGACCTGATGATATATGAGTCGTAACTCGGAGAGAGGTAACGGAGAAGAATTTACGAGAACGTACCTTGTTGGTAGCACCGCACTTGTCGGGACCGAACATGATAACATAGGGGGTGGCGTTAGAGAACTCCTCGGCGTGGAGCTTCTTGTTCTCCTGTAGAAGCTTAAGGTAGGCACCACCGCAAACGAGGGAGTCTGGCAAGATGTAGATTAGACACGGAATGTTTTAACAGCTGTGTGGAACCAAGGCTTACTCTGAGGCTTGACCTCGTACTGGACAACCAAGGTCTTGCCCTTGTTATCGATCTTCTTGGGGAATTTCGCCGAGATGGCATGGTGGGCGGCAGGGTTCTTCACGACGAGACCCTTGTCTCCGTCGATGCCCTTGAAGACCGTGGGTTCCTCAACGGACCATTCACCGATGTAGGCCCAGTCCTCTTCCGTTTGGGAGTCATCCTTCTTCGCATGAGATGGTGTCCACCGAGATTCCCAGTCATCGGTGAATTGCTCGAGGAAAGGAGCTTTGAGGGTGGTAGGCTAAGGCGCTGTCAGCAAGCCACGCAGGGACCGGGCGCATAAACAACAGGGGGATAACCTACGGTGAAAGTCGGCTTCTCGACGACAGAGGTAGCATCGGGGTTCTTCTCAGCCTCCTCAGCATGAGCATAGCCCATGAGAGTGGCCGAAGAAACCAAAGCGGAAGCAACAGCTGCGTTGAAACGCATGATGAATGATACCGGGCGCTCAAACTAAGAAGCCCGACTCGGTAGTAGCTTTAGGAAAGAACGAAACAAATAAGCAAACGTTCAAGCAATTGATCCTCCGTAGAGGTTCGAGGGGGGAAAAGAATGTCCAGATGGAAGCGTACCACAAACTAACCGCACGACGGAAGGAAGAAGAGAGAGAGAAGAGGAGAAAGAGAAGACCGGTGTTGGGGAGGTTGATTATATGAAGCTGGGAAGGTAGCTTAAGTTCAATCTGGCCTCTTCCGCTGCCGCTTGCCCCTTGGGGTAAAGTTCCACCGGCCCAAACAGGGTTAGTGGCAGATTCTCCAATGTTCTATTCATTGATTCTAAGAACCATTTCATTGCTTTGTTTTGGGCTCTTCCTTCTTTACTTGGTACTAGTAGAGTCAAGGTCTTAGCGTCCCTGTATGTTATCAGCAGTACTCCATACCTACCACTCATGCCTTTCATATACTTACCCCAAACATGATGATCACTCTTCAAATATTGAATTTCAATTCAACCAATGTAAATATTAAATATTAAATATTTATTTATTTAAAATGAGATTTTTTTTCCCTTGGTTTTTTCTTAATTTTGTGATTATTTGCAGGTCTCATATACTACTAACTATCCTTGTAAATGCCGATTGCGCGATCTCCCTCCCGCTACTGCTAGTCAATTGATCCATATCCAGAAAAAAAAATTGGAGTTCTTCAAGTTGCCCCTCTCCCCGCCGACGTTCTTTTCACCTCCTCATTTCTTTTGCAAAACTTCAGACCACAACTATTCCGAGTGTCAACTCCAATTTTCTTACCTCTTTCAATCTGAGGAGAGGGCCCTTTGTTCATTTCTCTTTCTTTGTCTGTCTCTTACGTCCCCCAATCCCTCCATCCCGTCTCTTGAACCCCACTTGACCGGTCAGCGCGTCATGGCCCAGCAGGTCGAGAACACCAACAATGACCACCTGGTCCAATCTTCCGACCCGGAGCACCCGTCCAACTTGATCCCTGAACTCTGTCGTAAATTCTACAACTGGGGTTGGGTCACTGGCACTGGTGGTGGTGTAAGTGATCAATCGTATCGCTTATTGAGATAGTCCATGGAAACTGATCCGATGTAGACTTCCATCCGACAGGATGACCACATCTTCATTGCACCGTCTGGTGTGCAGAAGGAATTAATGAAGCCAGAGAACATCTTCGTTCTCCAGTTCCCCACCCCCAAATATCCCCCCTCCGAGCGCAAATATATCCGCAAGCCACTCGATCTGAAGCCCTCGGCCTGCACTCCTCTGTTCCTGGCGGCCTTTGAGCGTGGTGCCGGCTGCTGCATCCACACTCACTCCCAATGGGCCGTGCTGGTGACGCTTCTAGTGGAGCGTGAAAAGGGCCCCGGAGGCTACTTTGAGATCAGCAACATTGAGCAGATCAAGGGTATCCCTCGCGGTAAGGGCAAGGGTATGCTGGGCTTCTTTGATACTCTGAGAATCCCAATCATTGAGAACACCGCCTTCGAGGAGGATCTCACCGGAAGCCTGGAGAAGGCCATGGAGGAGAACCCCGACACCTGCGCCGTTCTTGTGAGAAGACATGGAATGTGAGTATTACCCGGTCCCTCTTTTGGCAGCTGTGGGAATCTAACGGGTTGTGTAGTTACGTCTGGGGAGATAATGTTGCCAAGGCCAAGACTCAATGTGAAAGCTTGGATTATCTGTTCCAGCTTGCTGTGGAGATGCACAAGCTCGGTATCCCATGGGTTAAGGAATAGATGAGTTTTATATGCAAGGGGCTTGATCTCCATCGTTGAGGACCTTGGGGGGGGGGGGTCGTGCGAGTCGACTAGGTTGAGACGCTATGTCCTGAAGATACCACCATTATGATAATGATGATTTGATATGTTGGGAAAAGAAGATATATACATTGAAAAAGCGTTATAAGATTCAAGCCTTTATTTGAATATATCCTGGAGCCTAAACTATGCTGCAGCTTATCCCTATCGAGAGCGTAGAGGTTGTCCGTCGCCGGGAATACAGAGGAGATCCATAGGACTCGTATGCATGTGGACAACCAGGCTTAAATATATTCCAACCAGTAGCTCCCGTTAGTTAACTAGGCTTACTTCATAGCTGATTACCTAACACGACTGCATCCCCTTTCGAGACATGAAATCGTACATCCATACCAACTATGAATTCTAAAAAGACAAGTACGGAGCTAAAAAGGTGGATTCAGGCATTGACAGAGCGGGGGAGAAGGCAGCCCTAATCCGGCGGGTGACGAAGGTTGGCCTTTTCCCAGTCCTGACGGCGCGGATCATCTGTCCAACTTAAACTTACTAGTCGCTTCTCCGACTCCATCAACATCAATTGTGTTCCTCTCAGGACACCACCTCGATTTCCCTCGTTTCCCCCCCCACCGACATTTTATTGTCGATTTCCAATTGATATTCACGCCCTTTAATCTTCCCCCACCAATTGCAATCCATCCAATCATTCCCTCATGGATCTGGACACAGGTGACTCCCCGTGGGGCGGTAAGCAGGCAATCATGAACAATACAAGCGCATCGTATTCGACATATCTAACCCCAAGTATAGACGTTCCCTCGCAGTCCACCGGCAACCACGGTTCGTCAAGGCCAGAAACCGAAGATGCCAGTGCGTTCCTTCCAGAACTTAGATCCCTGTAGCAGCCCACCTCCTAACCGCATCATCCCGCAGCCCGGGAACAATCGTCACAACAAACCACTTCGACCGGTCCTCGTTCTCCCGTACGGCGCGGTCCGCGAGGTGTCCGCAAGATCAGCGCACATGCGACAAAATTGGAAGCAGTGGACGATACCCTGGATCCGCTAGGTCCTCTCGGGGACAAAGCCGACGAATCTAGTCCTGCAGCGGTCGAGCAAGCACCTGTACCGCCTCAGAAGGAAGCATTTACTGGGCGCAATGTTCGGCCCACATCATCTGCGTCTCAGACGTCTAGTGGTGCTGGTATGGTCGATTCTGTGAACCTTGAAGAAGACGGTGCGGGTTTTAGAAACCCTCCTCCGGTACAACCACCAAGCGACGCGGACAGCGCGAAGAGACAATCGGAGCCTAGTATTAGTATTGAGAAGGCAGCGAAACCGACTTTCGAGATTACCGTCGGTGACCCACACAAAGTGGGAGATCTAACGAGTAGTCATATTGTTTATCAAGTCCGAACTAAGGTAGATCATCTGTGCTTCCGAATTTGGACTGCGTTGATATGCTGAAACTGGATCCAGACTACTTCTAAGGCCTATCGCCAGCCCGAATTTGCCGTCAGCCGCCGATACCGTGACTTCCTTTGGCTCTACAATTCAATGCATAATAACAACCCTGGCGTCGTCGTCCCTCCTCCTCCGGAGAAGCAGGCAGTTGGCCGTTTCGATACTAATTTCGTTGAATCCAGAAGGGCCGCACTGGAGCGCATGCTTAACAAAATTGCCGCGCACCCTATCCTACAGCATGATGGGGACCTGAAAATTTTCCTCGAGAGCGAAACGTTTAATCTAGATATCAAGAACAAGGAGAATAGGGAGCCGGATCTGGGTCAGAGCAAGGGTATGTTTAGCTCCTTCGGTATCAACGTGGGTGGAGGATCTAAGTTTGTTGAGCATGATGATGTAAGTCCGTCTTCGTTAGGTGCTGTGGACTCGCCAGGTTAACCATCACCTTAGTGGTTCCATGATCGAAAGGTTTACTTGGACGCCTTGGAGAATCAGCTGAAGGCCCTGATGAAATCTATTGACACCGTAGTTGCACAACGGAAGGGGCTTGCCGAAGCTGCTGGGGACTTCTCGGCATCCCTCCATGCGCTGGCAGCTGTTGAACTATCTCCCGCCCTCTCATCCCCTCTCGACGGGCTCTCGGACCTGCAGTTGCGCATAAAGGAACTGTATGAGCGCCAGGCCCAGCAGGATGTCCTCACGCTCGGCATCACCATTGATGAATATCTCCGTCTGATTGGAAGTGTTAAGACCGCCTTCTCTCAGCGGCAGAAGGCGTTCCACAGCTGGCATGCAGCTGAGTCAGAAATGCAAAAACGCAAGCATACGCAAGAGAAGCTTCTCCGGCAAGGAAAGACACAGCAAGACCGCCTAAATCAGGTCAATGCCGATGTGGCCGATGCGGAACGCAAGGTCCATCAGGCGAGGCTGTTGTTCGAAGATATGGGCAGGCTGATGCGGAATGAGCTGCAGCGTTTTGAAAAGGAAAAGGTGGAGGATTTCAAGTCCGGTGTAGAAACCTTCTTAGAAAGCGCTGTTGAAGCCCAGAAGGAGGTATGTAAACGCAGTCTTAATGAACAGACTTCTTTGGTTACTGATACTTTCATTTCACAGCTCATCGAGCTCTGGGAAACCTTCCTATTGCAACTGGATGCGGGCGAAGAAGGTAACCCCTTCTATGCCCCTGCGGCTGTAGGGGATGATGCTCCCGCAGAGTCGGCGCCAGAGAGGACTACTGAAGCTGCCTCGAGTGCGGCTACCGAGGATGAAGCATAGGTGCTCACATATTACCGCTATGACCTTTTATTGCCCTGTACCAACGGAAGGTCGCCGTCCCCTTTATTCCTTATTTGACTTGTTCATCGGCCAACCGACGGGTGCCAGTCATTGTTACAATGCGGCGTGGTGCGCGAATTGTTTCCTGAATTTATGGCAGTCTCCTTCAATTTTGCAGTCGGAATTACTGCGTTAACAATGTATCGATACCAGTAACTCGGAATTAATTCGAAATGACTTCTCTCCCTTGATGACCTTATCGCCTCGCTTCTTCAATATGCCTATGGCGCGACCAATAGAGGGTGACTCACACGCATGCAAACTTTACAAGTTACTAAAGCTATCAAGAAAGGTAGAAGAGACAACCCTGGAGGCACGAACTCTCAATGCTGGAATCCCAACCAAATGGTATGATGTACTGTACATGAAAGCTTCAAAAGATGTAGACCATAAACGATGAGTAAATTATACAGAAACACCCCATAGTCCCGACATAACTCAGTTCTTCTTCTTCCCTGATGCCTGATCTTCCTCCTGACCAAACGAACTGATCAAGTCCAGCAAGTTATCGTCTTCTTCCTCTTCAGCAGCGGCTCTTGCCGCAGCCTCAGCCTGTTTATCCGTCTGCTCAGTCTTCTTGCTTGCTTCGGCCTCAGTAGGGGTATTCGCGTCCCAGCTCCGTCCAAATTTGGCTCTGAATGCTGCCAGTCGACCGGCCTCGTCTTCTTCGACATTCATCAACTTGCTCGAGGATGGGTTCCACAGTAGGGAATTGCGCGTGTCACGGGTGGAGCGGTAGACAGGGGCGGGAGACGTCGTGCGATGAGTGAAGGTGCTGCCGTCCGACAGAGTGATGAGCTGGGTGAAGGTGTAGGGACGCTTAGGGCGTCGAAGGAGAGTCGCATGGCGGCATTGCGAACAGATGAAAGTGGTGGAGGTCTGGACCCGGACAGCGGTGACCGCGCTGCGGCGGAGCGGGATGCTGAGTGGCATTGTGAAGTAGAGGAAACAGACGGATTAAATTGAAACGGACCGGGAGGATAGGGATCTGGTCGAGCTCGAATCAATCTGGAATGGCTGTTCGGCGGGATCAGTTTATCGGAGGTTCTCAAGAAATTTGGCGGATCGGACGACGTTACGTAAGCATCAACGGGATGCCTTTTTCTTTTTCGGGGAAATCGGAGCATTTGTCTCTCTCCAGTTGTCTTGTCGCGCATTCCGCAAGAATGCTCGTCAATTGAAACGTTTTTGGATTCATATTCTCTAGAGGTTCATAATGACTCTGGAGGGATTCCATGGTTTTGTCGCCAGTTTATCTCCTGCTCTGTTACCCGTCGTTCCTTGAGCCGTTGAGCTTATCCGCTCTACACCCGGCGGAATGAAGCTTCCATACTCTCGACCTGCGGTTTCTGTGAACCGGATTGTAGGCCAATTTAAAGGTGGGACTTGAGTGTGCTCTTCCTTCAATGGATCCTTGCTAATCGTTCTTGACGGTCCAGGATTTCAATGTGGCTCTACTACTCTGCCTCTCCGAGCACAGCAACGGCACTCCAGCAGAACAATCAGCAGCGCTAAAGCGACATTTTCAAGTACACGGCCTCAACCCAGCAAGGAAATCGACACCCCTGATACCGGGAATCTCACACTCTCTCTATCGGACCAAGTCCGCCTGCTGATGAGACGAGTGCCCTACCCCGTTGCCATTATCACGGCCACAGACCCCCATGAGCCTCTCGACAAAGCCTTCCGCGGAATGACCGTTTCATCGTTCAATACCGTGACACTAAACCCGGAGCCGGCTATCTCTTTCAACGTACGACGACCATCCGAGACACTGAGCGCCCTTCAGTCGTCCAAACGATTCCTTGTCCATCTATTAGCCCCCAGTCAGACGACAGCAGCCCTTGCTCGGGATTTCTCCAAAGGCAACCATAACCTGTCCATCGCAAGCGGAAAAGGCGACTTCGAATTCGTGCCGCATACCTCTACGTCTGGTGGGGAGGCGCCCCCCAGACCGCTCCCACTGCTCCGGAGGAAGAAAGCCGCGGATGCACCGGAGGGGAATTCCCTCTCAGATATTCCTTTCGTGTTTGAATGCCAACTTCATCCGAAGGAGATTGAAGTTAACGACCATACTATTGTGGTTGGGACCGTTGTAAGGGTCCTTTCGGAGCATTTGACGAGTCCAGAGGCGATTGCTAACGCGCACTCCGTCACCGATCTATGTTTAACATATGCCAATACCCGATTTTGGGAAATGGGCCATGATATTTAGACTTGCAGCTGGGAGTAGCTATATCTGAGTTTCAGGGCGATATGCTTTCCGCCTCAAGCTCATATGTTTGGGCTCTAGATGGATTCGGGTTCCATGACCCCCTGGTTTGGCGGTTTATATGTCATAACCGACATTAGAGCCTTCAGAAATGGTGCCTGTTCGCGCAACTATGTATATAATATTTTCCTCTCATGGCAATTCTGTATATTATGCTGATACAAGTGAGACCATCACCAATCTCTTTGCTTTTGTTATACCTGAAACACCACAATTGGCACATTATGATACAATCAGACATCCTACACTGATACTCCCTTTAGATAACTACCGTGTACACCTAGAATAAGAAATCCTTTTAATCAACAGAATCCATACGAATGACGTCATATCTAGAATAGCTCAAACACTATACCCAAGGCCAACATAGCATGCGTCCAGCGAGTAATGCGGACATCAAACCAGCTGAAGATTTCCAGAGGAAGAAACGCTTCTTTGGCCATCGCGCTCGCTTACGCTGCCCTAGAAAAGCTCGGGTTCTCGTTCAATAAGGAGCAGGAAAGTCTCCCTAAGCCATTCATCGAAGGCCTCAAGATAAGTTACAGGGAGAGGGAGGTGCGAGACGATCACAAGCGGTCAACTGCATTGACATCTCGATGGAGCCCACACAGCAGACAGTCTGTTCCTGGTTCGGCCGTGTATCAAAAGAGAAGTCAGTGGCCTCTGTCTCACTTGTAGGGTATATTCTAATTGTGCCTATCTTCAATCAACAGTTAGCAAGGGACGCTATTTCGCTTCTCAGATGCGTTCAGCACACTGTGTATGATGACCTCAGAACAAATATCCCATACACCTTGCTCTGCACAAACATCACTCGCAAAGACCACTCATACAAAGTTGGTTAGTAGCTAGTGTTTCGCCATGTGATGTGTAGCTCGAGACTTGACACAGGATTCGGTTGAAAGACCTCAATGACAGGAACACTGATCCAGATGTACTTCGAAGCCTCACATTACAAAAAGAACCGGCAGCTACATGGCATGACTTGGAGCCAAGTACAGAAGTAGTAGCACTTTATCCACTTGAAGAGGCCATTGAACATGCGAGGAACATTAGCGGTCACGTTGGTGAGAAGCGGGCTCTGGTCACTGGAAGCTTCCGTCTCGTTGGTGGCGCTCTGTCGATTCTTAAGGGGTAGGACATTGCGCTTGGAAGAGCCACAGCTAACTAGCAAGATGGTGAACTGCATCTAAAGGTTTAAAAGGGGAAAGAGGACCAGTAGAAGGGAGTCACGTCATCTAAAGTTTTGGTCCGCTGATCAAAAACCTTGTAATGGCAGGCTGTTACTAGTATAGAGGTGACCAGACGTCGTACTCTTTTTGGACACATTAAGTGCATGCAGAATCCGGTTTACGATAGCTTAGTTCGACTTCAGCGATTCTCGTATACCGGAAAAAGGGCATGTAGAGCCAGGTTTCCTTCCCAGGAATAATAGAGCAGACTTGACTGAGGCCCCGTGATAAGCAATCATAATTACATACTCTCTGTTTAGGGCAGGAAATCCGGTCACAGTTGCGCCGAACTACTGTAATACACTACGTAACCCAACGTACGCACGGATTATAGGGCGAAAAGTCTACACAGGATACACGATTTTATTGATCACAGGCGAAGTAAAACCAGGGTGAAGCCGCAGGGCTAGATACATAGAGTATGGCCTGGGAAAACCAAGACGATTGGAGCGCCATGCCGGACAATCAACGCAAGCAGAAAGGGGACCACATATAACTTGAAGTACCAAGCAGCATAACGACCACACTGGAGGTGTTTAACAGCCTAATGGCCTTTTCCAGTTGCAGAGCTGGGACTACCACTGCCGCTACCACTTCCACCACTTCCACTGCCACTAGCACGGCTGCCTGCCCTCGGGAACGGACTAGAGATTGGTCTCAAACCCAAGTTTGGAGCATTGCTCTCGGAACCGGAACTCCTTCTCTTATCGACCACCTTCTCAGACAGATCAAACTGGAAGGGAGGACGACGGCTCGAATCAAAGAAATCAGAACCATAGAGACTGCTGTGGCCCGATCGATTGGAGAAAGACCGGTCACGGTGAATGAAGTCCGATTCGAAGGGGGAGGCGGTATTGATGAGAGGCGAGGTCGGGAAGTGTTGCAAGTACGACGGCGCCTGCGTTGGACTAGTCGGGTGGGACGACGTGGGACCAATGGGGGACGAAGCATGCTGCAGAGGGCTGGACTTCAAAGGCGGGAAGCTGAGTCCAAGCAATGATCGGTTGCTGGAAGCGCTCGTCGTCAGAGCGCCTAGGGACAGGGTGGGTGCCTCGCTGAGGGGGTTGGTACCAGGTAAATTGCCCTCGGGAGTGAGCGGGGCCGAGTCCAAGAGGATCTGTTGTTGTTGCTGCTGCTGGAGAGCTTGCTCGATAGCCACACACTGTTGCCAAAGTTGGTTGGTGCGCAACTGATACTCCTGAACTGACTGGCTAATGCTCGCAAACTGTTCATTGAAATTCGCTTCGAGTTTGGCCTGGTCTTGCTCTCTAGCAAACTGTTCCGCAGCGCGACGCTCTCTCTCGTTGAGTCCCTGTGCGTTAGCAGAGACGATACGCTCATACTGCTCATTAACCCTAGTACGGCGACCTTGAAGACGTTCCCGTCTCTGAACCGTAGAGGTCAGATCAGACTCTAGTTGTGACACCTCACGAGCAGCAGCCGATCGAGCGCTGGCCACATCGTCCTTGGCTGAATTGAAGAGCTCAAGTTCATGTTCGTACTTGGCTTTTTCTGCCGACCATTCTTTAAGCTCCTCCTCTGGGATGTTCTCCAAATTATCCAATTGGACCTCCAAAACAGCGGTAGCTTCTTCCGTTTGCTTGATGTTCCGTTCCAATTGCAAAGAGCGCTGTTTCTGCCGGTTTTCATCCGTGCCACTATGGAGACGATGGTTAAAATTGTCCAACTCTTTCTTAATCTTTGAAACGACAAGTTTATGATCGTTCTTGGCCTTTCTCAACCGTGCGCGCTTCTCATTGAGTTTCAGTTCAGCGTTGACGATGGAATTTTTCAGCGTGGTCGTTGGGGACGATGGCCGATAGGATGGCTGCGGTGGAGTAGATACCGAGGAAACTACTGAGATAAGTGTTAGACTACTGAACTGTTTCCCTAGAGGATAGAGGTTATCTCACCTTGTTCTGCGTCATTTGCGATCGGTGTCTTCACACTCATGACGCAGATCTCTTCCTCCGTGTCACTGCGCAAAAAAGAGCAAGTGTAGGCACAATTGGGGGCGAGACCAGATATCTCACCACGCCAATGTACTACACTTGAACCTTTGGCTGCATCCTGAACTTTGCAAATCGAGACTGTCGCCCAAAGTGCGCCATTGATACAAACATAAAAAGGTTCCGTGTCTTCGCCCAACCGTCCAGATTCACAAGAACCGGAAACCCCAGCATCATCTGAGACGAGATCACCCGCCGCAAACTTAATAGATGAGCTATCAACATCGGTAATCCAAACAAGACCATCATCCAAAGAAACACCCTGAAGATCCTCCTCGGTCATACTGAGGCCTCGAGCAGTTTTCGATAAGGCCCTAGAATGTTCGTACTCTCGCATAACCGTCACTTTCGTGCTTGCAAGCGCAGCCCAAAACGGTTGGCGATTCCGAACCTGGTTTGCCTGTCTCCTGCGTTTCTTCGCTGAAATCAATCGATCTCTACCATCCTTGTGAGTTGCTGGCGTAATAAGTTGTCCGTCGGCACCGATATAAGAAGACACACTAGTCCCAGACTCGAACGCAGAATCAATTTGAGTCTGCGAGCCAGCAGATGCCTCAGTATCAACACGTTTTCCAGTTCGAGGAGGAGCCGGTGCCCTATTTTTAGCCATTGAACGCCTAGCCATTGCGGTTCCTGCTTGCGCTAAGATATGAACCGCAAGTAAACTCCGGATCCAGCTCGGGGAAGATTGCGGATCAGTGCGCCGGAACTCGGAAGGCATAAGATGAGAGTATTGCGACAGCAAATCGGGACTGATAATTTTCGCGGAGAGAAGATGACCTATAACAAAATCCTGTATACCTTTACTTCGAATAAGATGCAAAACAAGAACAATACCAACACAGAGGGTATTAACCCCCCCATTTTTCCCCGACCCTCCTCCGCCTAGGGTTATGGCGACTTGAACATGGGCTAAGTCGAGGGCGAAATTTTGCGCCCACGTCCACATGAAAAGACCCCAGAAGAGTAGGAAGAATCCATCCATTGCAATCATGGTACCGAGAGATGGTGTTCCGGCTGGACCCTGAAATATATCGAAATTGGACGTCAAAGAGCCGGCCGACGCACCACCTGGAGGCATGAACGTCAGGGAAGCGAACAAGAACTGCACCAGCGTAAGGACCATAGGCGGCAACTGAAGGAGGAAAATCAGAATGGCGATAGTGTCGTACATCGGACAGGATTTGAGGATAGTCGAAGCCAGTTGGAGTGGGTTAATCGAGGTATTCGAGCCTGACCTCTTGGAACTCTCCGTACGACGCGACGCCTGGCCGGTAAGGCCACCATTCTGCGGAACCGCCCCATTCGCCTGTCCGTAAGACATATCCGGGTTACCCTTAGCGTATCCATTCAGACTACCACGTCCGTTGCCATCCGCCTTCGAGCACTCCGCCGTACCGTTGGCCTTTGTCGCCGTCGCTACCGTGGAAGTAATTGCCGTATCGCTATTGGAGCGAGACGAAGGCCAGTCGACTTGAGAGGAGGGTCCAGAACTTGGTGCGGAGCTACCGTTGGCATTCCCATTCAGTTGTCCGTTCGATTTTTGCTTGTTCACTTTCTTGCCGGAGCCGGCGGCGCCATTCTCATGCCGATTGCTATGACTCTTCCTAGCCGTAGCCGATGAACGTGGCATGGACAAGGGAGCCTAACACCCAGGTCCGAGTCAGCTTGGCAGATGGTAGCCAAGGACTTGGACCAGGCG